ATATATACACAAGAGCATGCCAAACCTGTAGGTGGCAGTGTAACGAGAAGCTCAAGCCTTCCATGTATCCATTGTCACCATAGCAACATAGGTCGCACTTTTTACACAGGCGCAAGTTCCGGCGCATACTGTGACGTGTGCTTCCTATAACTCTGTTTATCTGCGTTTATCTCAGTTTACATGCAAACGCGCAACCAGAGTTTTCCAAAATCTCCACTCTGGCCGGAGTTTTTAGAAAGACTCGTTTTCAGAGGAGAAATCTCCGTTTGTGTGTAAACGAAGGGCACAAACGAAGGAAGATGTCTCCGTTTATCAAAATCACTGTGTACGTATAAACGGCCTCTTGAATTCTGTGCATCTGCAGCAACACCTGCACCATCACTGCAGCCAGGGAATGACTGTCACGAGGTATAGCAGCGCTTTATAGGCTGTAAAATTACCAATAAAAGCTTCTAAACCAAAAATTTCACAACATGTTTAAGCAGCAATATGATCTGAAAAACTAAATGCACATAGTTCAAATAGAATTTTTTGTTTGTCTCAATCAGGCTTAGGTTTCCCATAGAATCTGCTTCTTGGCTCTGCTACAACCTGCAGTCCCTGCTGCCAGCCACACAGACTAAATGTTGATGCCATTAACTGAGCAGCAATCGCCTGCAGGTTGCTGTTAATGAGATAAACTCTTTAGTCTGTCTCTGTACAGTCGAATCATGAAGCTACTACCTGTTGGCACTGAGTTGGAACAGCAGGAAATGTCACATTATGGGGAACCAATGACTCTCTAGTCTGGAAGACAATACCTTTCATGCTCTGGCTGTGAGTTTTCTTTCCCACCCAGCCATTCACTCCGTGCATGCGTGCTCACTCATTATCTCTAGGTGTGATTGTCTGGGTCGGTCAATTAAGTCATCAGCTGATTCACAATCAACCAATAGCACAGCGACACACCTTCTCTGTAAGCCTATCATCTTACTGCTCCCCATTTTAAATATGGTTCTTTCTCTCTCTCATACATGCCCTCCACCTCCGCTTCACCACCTCGTCTTTACGGAGTCATCATCCTCATGCCTCATCAGTCATCAGCTTCAGAGTCATCATCCTCATGCCTCATCAGTCATCATCCTCATGCCTCATCAGCCATCAGCCTCAGATTCATCAGCCTCATGCCTCATCAGTAGGGTTGAGTCGGTTCTCGATAATACCATTTCGGTTCGCTACTCCGACTTGGACCAGGTTTTCTTTTTTGTTGAGTCCGCCCAGACTAAAAGCAGACGTCTGCAAGCCCTGTGCGTGCAAAGCTCAGATTTTACGACCGCGCGGACTCCGCTCCGCGCACCAGTGTCGCACAAAAGACGGCGCGGCATGCATTTTTCACATTGCAGGGATTTTTCACAGACATTTTTACAGGAACGTGGAAGTGTGCTCGACTATGGAAGCCCGAATGACTGGAAGCCCGAATGACTGCGGACATTCCTCATTCCTCATCTGCCTCATCGGCCATCAGCCTCAGAGTCATCATCCTCATGCCTCATCAGCCATCAGCCTCATATTCATCAGCCTCATGCCTCATCGTCCTCAAATTCATCAGCTTCATGCCTCATCAGCCATCAGCCTCAGAGTCATCAGAGCCATCACTCATATTCTGTATTAAATATTATCTTATCTTCATTCTTCTGGCTCTCCTGATTGAACTACAAATACAAGCACAAACGTCCCTTCATCTCCAGAGCTCGTCTGTCCATCAGGGATCATGTGCAATAATACGCAATAATTCCTAATAATTAGTATGTGGTGGTGATGAGTAGATTTAAAGATTTCAAACAGCACTGTGTGGTTAATGTCGTCATGTCTGAGTTGTGCAGAGAAAATAAACTTGATATCTTTGGCATGGCAAATGAACAAGGCTCAAATATTTCATAAGCTACTTTTATGAGATTCCAGTTATGTTATTAAAATAATGAATACTTAAATTTGAAATTTCCTCCTGGACTTTGGAGAAAATCTGATCTGAATCTGATGACAACTGAGCAAAATCCACCAGCTGAGCTCTGGAAAAGCAACTACCTGGACCTCAAGTTAAATTTCTTTGTCAAATTAAAAAAGATTACTAGCCAATAAACAACATTTATACGCTTGTCCCATTTGCAGTGAGGTGCACTAAACTGTCCACAATGTGGGTGATATTTTGAATCTTTTAGCATAGATTTTCATTGTCTTAGTGGAGAAAAACATCATTTATCTGAGGCCTCATGCTGCCTTAAATATGATCTGCTTTGAATGAAGCAGTAAAACAGCACATCAACACTTTTCCACATGACATAACTGGTTATCAGTTGGTCTATTACTGGGAGTCAATACCTCCGAACAAAGCAGCTATTCTTATTTCTTTCTCATTTATAGTGCTCATGAACATCAGGGGTTATGGTTTGCCGAGGATATTTATTTTTTCCTGCTGATAATCATGTATACGGTCATAACTATTACCAGTAAAAAGCTGCTGGAACAACTGCATTACATCTAATAAAAGAGCTAACCTGGTCTATATTTACGCCGTGATGTTACAGCTATACCACAGGGATTAAACTTTATGGTGACAAATAAAACGTTAAGTATGTTAGTGAGGAGTTGTTCCATCACAAGCCTCTGGCACAGCTTCAGTGTCACAGACTGTGTGGGTGTGGGGGATTGTAGTGGAGGGATGAGCTCCAATCTTCGTAAAATATATTCACTCATTTGTTGTTCAGTCAGGTTGGGATCTGGTGACTGTGCAGACCAAAGAGTATGATTCACATCACTTTCATTCTTATCAAACCCTTCACTTTGTGCCCTGAATGGAAGTCTCTGCATTTGTTATGTTTCTCTACATATCGAGCTCATTCATTCATTCATTTAGTCTTTTAGTCACATGACTGTATGACGGTCATTTGGGGAATTTTCAAACTCATCTTATCAGATTCACATCAGAAGTTTCAGGTTTCATCAGCCTGAGCTTCAGTGTCTTAAGACTTTGCTCAACATGCAGTCATAGCTGTGTTTTGTCCGATTCAGCTATGCTAAGACAGCATGCTAACACATCAGCATGCTAGCATTAGCATCCATGGAAAGCACCATGGATGGATTACTGCACCGGCAGCGTACCAGGCACAGACCCAGGGACCCCAAGTGTCTTTACCTGCAAAATGTTACTCAAATTAACACATACTGACCACAAAGAGACACTAAATGACCTCAGACACTCAAACAACTACAAAAAACACACAAAATTACCCCAAATAGACACAAAATGACTTAAAGAGACATAAAATGATTACAAAGAAACACAAAGACACCACAAACAGACACAAAATGACCAAAAAAGACACAAAATGAATACAAGGAGACACGAAATGACCTCAAAGACACACAAAACAACTACAAATAAACACAAAATAACCAGAAAAGACACAAAATGACTTTAAAGAGACACAAAATGACCTCAAAGAGACACAACATGATTACAAAGAAAAACACAGACACCACAAAAGTCACAAAATGATGACTGAGAGACACAAAATGACCAAAAAACACACAAAATGACCTCAAAGACACACAAAATGACCAAAAGTGACTTCTAAGATACACAAAATGATCTTAAAGAGACATAACACCATGAAAAAATACACAAAACGACTTCAAAGAGACTCAAAATGAATACTGAGGGACACAAAATGGCCTCAAAGACACACAAAACAACTACAAATACACACAAAATGACCCAAAAAAACACACAATGTGACTTCTAAGAGACACAAAATTACCTTAAAGACACACAACACCATGGAAATATACACAAAATGTCTTCAAATAGACACAAAATGATTACAAAGAAAGACAAAATTACCAACAAAAAAAAAGACACAAAATGACTTCTAATAGACCACCACCACAAAGTCTGTGTTGCTCCTGTTAATAGATGTGGTGGGGCCTTCTGCATGTCTATGCCCAGGGGCCCATTGTTTTATAATCCCCTCATGGGAAACATGAACTGCAGAGTCACAGTCATGACACAGTGACAGGTCTTTACATTGACACCACACTGCTGCACACTGTGAGGACAGCTCCTGCTAATGACACTGAGTTAACTAAAATATTTAAAACCTGTTTGAAGAGACATTTTAAAACCAGACGTAATGATCTATCATCGTTTTTACTTCTCTGGAAGAAGTGGAGCACAGAGTTAAGTTGGTCTTCTCACACTCACCGCGATCTGCACACAGTCCTCCCCCTGAAACTTGGGGATGTACTGGTCCCCACGGGCCACCTCCGAGCTGTTGAGCGGCCTGAACCGGCACACCACCTTGATGGTGGTCTCCGCTGCGGGGTCCCCCATCTCGGCCGCTGTGGCTGCGTCCTCCCGGCGCGTTACAGTGAGACAGCTGCAGATCCAGCAGCAGCAGGAGCCACAGAGGAGGCCGCGCCCCTCAGAGAGATGCTGCACAGCTCCTGCTCCTGCTGACTGGGACACTGTGCTGGAGCAGTGCTCACATATGTTTACTGACAGAAGGTTCACAATGACTTTAACTAAAACTGATGGTGCATGTGAACCTGACAGTTACATCACAGCACATTTATATTTAGTTGTTGTCATATTTGCTTTTGTAAATAAATTTATCATCACAGTTTAAGAGTCAAAGGTGGTGCAGTGCAGAGTAGTCACCACTGGGGGGAGCACTATGACCAGGCAGTTCAATGACAGACCAATAAAGATAAAGAAGCAGTTTATTGCATATGATGGGTTCAGGGTCTGGAGGGAAGGATGAAGGGATGAGGATCATGGGATGAGGGATGAAGGGATGAGGGGATGAGGGTAGAGAGATAGGGGGATGAAGGGTGAGGGAGGAAGCGAAGAGGAACAAGGAATGAAGGGTGAGGGATGGAAGGATGAGGGTTGAACAGATAAGGGTCGAGTGGTGAATGAATGATGGGTGAGGGGTAAAATGATAAGGGGATGAAGGGATGGGATTGAGGAATGAAAGGATGAGGGTCAAGGTATAATAGGATGCGGGTTGAAGGATGAAGGGTGGGGGATGAAAGGATGAAGGTATGAGGGTTGAGGGATGATGAGATGAAATGATGAGAGTCAAGGTATAAAATGATGAGGGTTGAGGGATGAGGGGTAAGGGATGAAAGGATGAAGGTTGAGGGATGCAGGATTTAAGGAATGGGGAACAAGAGATGAAGGGTGAGGGATGGAAGGATAAGGGCTGAACAGATAAGGAATGAAGCGATAAGGGTCGAGTGATGAATGAATGATGGGTGAGGGGTAAAAGGATAAGGAATGAGGGGATGAAGGGATGGGGGTTGAGGGATGAAAGGATGAGGGTCAAGGTATTAAAAGGATGAGCAACAGGGAAGAAGGGTGAGGGATGGAAGGATGAGGGCTGAACAGATAAGGAATGAAGTGATAAGGGTCAAGGGATGAATGAATGAAGGGTGAGGGCTAAAAGGATAAGGGTCAAGGGATGAATGAATGAATGAAGGGTGAGGACTAAAAGGATAAGGGATGAGGGGATGAAGGGATGGGGGTTGAGGAATGAAAGGATGAGGGTCAAGGTATTAAAAGGATGAGGAACGAGGGATGAAGAGTGAGGGATGAAAGGATGAAGGTACGAGGGTTGAGGGATGAAGGGAAGAAAGGTAAGGGATGAAAGGATTAAGGTTGAGGGATGCAGGAATTAAGGGATGAGGTACAAGAGATGAAGGGTGAGGGATGACAGGATAAGGGTTGAAGGTCAAAAGGATGAGGGATGAAGGGATGAGGAATGGGGGATGAAGGGTGAGGGATGGAAGGATGAGGGTTGATCAGATAACGGATTAAATGATAGGGTTGAGTGATGAATGAATGATGGGTGAGGGGTAAAAGGATAAGGGTCAAGGGATGAGGGGATGAGGGGATGAAGGGATGGGGGTTGAGGGATGAAAGGATGAGGAACAGGGAAGAAGGGTGAGGGATGGAAGGATGAGGGCTGAACAGATAAGGGATGAAGTGATAAGGGTCAAGGGATGGATGAATGAATGAAGGGTGAGGGGTAAAAGGACAAGGGTCAAGGGATGAGGGGATGAAGGGATGGGGTTGAGGGATGAAAGGATGAAAGGATGAAGGTATGAGGGTGAAGGGATGTAAGGATGAAGGTTGAGGGATGCAGGAATTAAGGGATGTGGAACAAGAGATGAAGGGTGAGGGATGACAGGATAAGGGTTGAAGGTCAAAAGGATGAGGGATGAAGGGATGAGGAATGGGGGATGAAGGGTGAGGGATGGAAGGATGAGGGTTGAACAGATAAGGGATGAAGTGATAAGGGTCGATTGATGAATGAATGATGGGTAAGGGGTAAAAGGATAAGGGTCAAGGGATGAGGATTGAGGGATGAAAGGATGAGGGTTGAAGGAGGAGGGCATTAAAGGATGAAGGGATGAAGGGTCAAGGTTGAATGGATGAGGATCAAAGGGATGGGGAATGAAGGGATGAGGGCCTTATCAATAAAATTAGAATAAATAAATAAATAAATAAATAAATAGATAAAATCAATACCTCTGGATGGGTTTCCAGCCCTAAGCTAACTTAACAGTAAAATCTATTTAAAACACAGGTTTAGTTTGGCTCACCAGGCACACGTGCACAGGAGTGTTCACAGATCAACAATGAGGCTCACACACCTGTGCTCCATGAACCTCTTGACAGCTCAGGTTCTCTCACCTTAACTGGCCAAATGTCGCCAGGGTCCTAGTGTCCCCCTGCTGCAAGAGTAAAACTTCAGGAGGGTCTATTGGCATCATATTCCATTCCAGCTGTTTTTTCTACACTGCATTATGTAATAATTTCCCATGCTCCAACAGATTTGATATGATGTCACTTTATTTGCAGCCACAAGAGGTCAGGAGTTCACAGGTCTTCTTTCTTAATATCACAGCCTGTCCTCTTTTGTCAAAGTAAAAGCCAACCTTAGCTGCTTACTGTGTGTATCATCTGGATACTGAGCCATGATCAGATGTAGAGACTTAATAAGCAGCTCCAAGTCTTGTCACTGTCAGTAATCATCATCACTGGGGATGCTCATTTGGATAAAGATGTATGTTAGGGAGAAAAATGACAGACTGCAGGTGATTTGTAAACACTGCTGCTCCATAGCTCCATCGGGGTTCCTGTCATGGAGCCTGCACTGTGTACTGCTGACCTCTTGTGGCTGAAACTTGTAGAACACATTTTCAATAGGCTGCTTTGATGCTGGCATTTTCATCATTGGTACATGACAAGTATGAGATATGAAGAGTTGAATGAAGTAAGCTTTGAGGCCCATTCCTGATTATATTGTATTTTGAACCACAGTATGCATTTTTCCAGAGGATGCAGGTTAGGGTTAGGACTACAATTGCTGTACTGCTACTGCTGCCACTACTTCTTTTACTAGTGCTTCAGTCACATGACTTGACTTGAGTTAGACTTTAGTCACAAATTTGAGGACTTGAGACTTGACTGACTAGCACTGATAACCCAGCATGCAGGTAATGTAAGCTGAAGGTTACCTGGAGGTTAATGTTTAAAAACATTTGGAGAACATCTCCTTATGGTTCTCTAAAGGTATTGGGAGAAAAAAAACCTCCAGAGAACCTTTAGAGAACGTTCCCTGAAGGTTTACTGAAGGTACTCTGGAGGTGTTTTTAAAAACCCTTTGTAGAATGTTCTCTGAAGGTTCTCTAAAGGTTTTCTACAGGACCGTTAAGGGAACCTTCTTTAAACGAGCCTTCAGAGAACATTCTCTAAAGGTTGTCTGAATTTATAATAACTCCGTCTCCAACCTCTGCTCAACCATCTGTTTGTCTCTATTGACTATGACTTGGTATTCAAGACTTGAGACTTTAGACAAAACTAGGATTACCTCCACCGTCTGTCCAGACTCATGTGTAGCCATGACAGGACACAATGCTGCAAATATGGATGTTGCTGCAAAGAACAAATTCCAAGACCTTGACGCTTAACACGCATCTTCAACCCGTCAGCACGGATCTTTACAATCAGCAGTGTCAAGGTGGTCCCTCAAGATGTTCTTGAGATATTGTCTTCATGAGAATAAGCTGGACTTGAGGTCACAGTGACCTTTGACCACCAAATTCTAATCAGTTTATTACCCTTGTCATAGCCTGGAAACACAATGACTCTGGCCACGACTATCACCGACACAGAGGCGTAAAAATACATAAAATCCCATCAAGTTACTTGATTTAAAAGTGTTTAAACTTTACATCTGATACTGTACCACATGTAGCTGCTTCCTGAAAAAATGCCCACCCTCCCAAAATGCAACAGTACACAGACTTCAGCTCTTTATCAGCTTCATCAGAAACATATCATCAGATAATACAATGTGTAGGAATTCATATATTTATGAATGGGGAGGGCGTGTGGCTTTCTGAAGCCTCAGGGCCACAATATGCAGTAAAATGATATCATGTGCAGCATCTACAGCAGCCAGCAGGGGGCAGCAGAAGCTTTCCATATGTTGTATGCAGCCAAGGAGAAGCTGAAGGACTCCTGTGTGTCCTCCCATGGAAAAAATCTCTGAGGTACAGCAGGTGTTCTGTATCATTTAGATTTCATTTAAATAAAAAAAATTAAATAAATTCAAGTCATTATGGATGTACATATTTTTTATTCCATAGAAACTGCAGCATTAGACAAGTGCTGAAGCCGTAAACCATGTTGCACACACACACACCCTCATCCACACACATTCAATCAATGCGGACTGGTGCAGGGAGATGAGACAGTAAAACACTGAGGCATGAGTCACACAGTCATTTAAAAAATAGAAAGAGAGGAGGAGGATGGGGGGGTCATTTAACGGAAGTGCACCATCACACTTAACAGCACGCAGAGAACTCAGAGGGGCTTTTATTTCTGTGACACAGACAGACCTCCTAAAAATGGCATATCGTCCTTAAACGGATAGAAAATATAAATTATTCCTACAGTAAGTACATTCTCTAGATTAGGACCCATAAATATGCGTTTGAGAGCTCAAATTACAGTATGTACAGAGGTCCATGCGTCCACAATATACATACATGACAATAAATATTGGATATAGTCACAATACAGCATTGAGATGGATATTTGATAACTCTGAACGAGTTAAGGGTACAGCAAGACACGTATGCAGGAGTCAGCATTCATAAACCAGCTGAGGAAAGGTGTTCATAACCTGTATCTGTCTGAGTTTTTATTAAAGGGGGTTGCCTTGGTTACGCCTGTCCTGAAGCGAGAGGAGAGGAGAAAATGTTTTAGGGGAAGGTCTGAAGAAGCACCAGTGAGCTTGTCCCCCAGGCTTCAACCTGACTCACGATAGAAAGAAAAAGAAGGCGGGATAGAAAGAAAAAGAGGAGAGGGAAAAATGTGAAGAGACACATCAATGAACAGCAGATCAAAAACCGTCACCTTCCTCATTGATTGTAAAACCCTGTTAAGAGTTCACCCTTTAACCAGTCATTCAAAGAAAGATGGAGGGAGAACGTGTGAAAGGAGGAGGTGTGCAGACGTGTAGAGGAGTGAGGGTAGTGTGTTACTGTGTGAGGGGGAAAAAGGGTTAAAAGAGAGCAGACAGGACCTAGATTTGGCAACGTGGCTTACGGTTGCTAAGTAACGGTCTCCAAGGGCAGAAAAAGCCCCTCTTTGAGGTTGTTCGTCTCCAAAATGAACAATTTTCAGCCCACCTCCACCTCCACCCTTCTCCACCTCCCCTCCGTTCAGTAAGGGGAAGCCTTTCCTGAGCAGTTTGTGAATGCTGGTGAAGCGAGAACAAGCAATCCACAGTCACGACTGATGAGGCAGTCAAAGTGCAAAGTTGGAACTAGGGCACCTCTTGTGTTGTTTTGCTGCAGTGTCTTTTTTTTCTCTCAAGCACAGAGCCTCAACAGGTTTGTCCTTAACAGGCCACAAGCAGCAAGCTAAATGGTGAAGTTCTTGGCAACAACAAAAAAATCACAGCATTTCTATGACGGGAAACATGAGTGGTGATACAATAATATGCTTTGACATGGAACAAGTTTTCAATGAGAATAAAAAAATAAAATATTCAGTGATTCAACATTTAAAACAGAAGGAAATCAGACATATTTTTAAATCGTATAAACCCCCATACTCTACTGTATCAGCTCGTTAAAATTCCACTCATTAAATATTCAGTGCTTCGGAGCCCAGATATTACCTCATCTGTTTCAGACTGCTGCCCGCTGAGTGTGTGGATCTATGCATAGCTGGGGCTGATGCGACTGAGAAGCCTTTGCAGAGGCTTCACTAACACACTTAAGAGTGTCACTGCCAGTATTAAGGTTGTGATGTGAGATTATTGCATCACTTTCAGCGTTTTAATGGCACCAAATTAAACTCCTGCACTTCTGTTTCAATGTTTTGCCACGTATCTGCTGAAACAAAAAAGCCCTCCGGTGTTGCGATGCTCTTAATTTGAGGCAGATGCTAACGGCACGTTTACCACAGAGCACGGGCAGCTGGCTGAGGAGTGTCTGCTGAGCTGTTTAATTGCATCTCCATGGAGGAGGATGGGTCCGTGTGGACGTGAGTAAACCTCCAGTTAGCATAACTACACAAACTCAGAGCAAATCCATGTTTCAGGAACTAGACGGTGTGGTTGAGCTAATGTTATGAGTCACTGCTGGGCCTTAAACATTTCGCTCTCCTCTGGGAGACTAAATATAGTTAATTTAATCTCAGCATGAGACCCAAGCTGATTTTAACATACTGGGTCTATTGTGAGAGGATCCTCACACACATGCAGGCTCCAGTAATGAAACACTGCACGCCAAGTTGCCATGGGCCAAAAACAGATGGTGGATTAGGAGACAAAGGGGAAAAATATGAGCACAAAAATACACGAAATTTGATTTAATTAAAGCTGAGTTTAGAGTCCCTACATCTTTGAGTTGAACTCCTGGTGTGTTTCTTTGGGGGCTGGACGAATGTCTGCAGCTCCTGTTTAATACACATTTCTCTGGAAATCAATAATAAACTCAACCAACTAAAAACTGTTGTAAAAACTATTTCAACTATAATTAGTACCAAATTTTGTCGAGCATTCCAAGAAACTATTTTCAGCAAATAAAGCATCACTAATACATAGTAATAACAATGGCCTTAAATGAATCCTAGAGGTGATGCTACCAGAAATAATTAACATTCAATTTTTCATGAGAAACCTTGTTAATCTTAATGGTATGACCTTTCGTCTGTGGAAGCCAAGGTATAAAACCAATAAACAAAACCATTTTAGGGGTTTAAAGGAAGACTTCACCTGCAAAATGACCATTTGTACATCAAGAACTCACAGCGTTACATTCACGGTAGTCTCGCTCACCAGACCTTTCTCAAGAAAAGAAAGGTCTGGCTGCGCCGACTCTCACTTTAAGATTGAAGAAACAATTGCCCCGGCTTTTTTTATTTCTTTCAACCAATCACAATCGTTCTTGGCGGTGCCACAGCAACGGTGCACTTGAAAACTGCTACACAACCGGAGGTGGTAGGGCGGGACTTCAGTCGGTGGCTCGTTCTGCCCAATGAGAGGCTAGCCCTTCCCAAACACATTCATTTTTGCTTAAACATTACGATTTAAAACAGCGTTGGAACTCAAGTGGAGCTCATACACACATGCCCTTGCTCAGGGCGCACTGCTGGTTGGTGGAAGTGTTTTGTATTGCAACGTTTTAGCAAAATTGCACGTGTTTGGGAAGCACTGAGCATACAAGTGGATAAATGTGACTTGGATTATACTAAACGAGAGTTTAGTATAATGGAAAAGACTTAAGTTCTTTTTCTCATGGACCACGACTTGCCCTCGCTCACAGCAGGAGCAAAATCTGAAACCAGAGAAGATAATGTGCCAAACACAAGGTTTGCAACTAAATTCTCAACAACAAGGAGAACCAAGTTGAGTTAGCACCCCATCGTCTAACTCTGCAAGGACCCTGAGTGAGTGGTTTCCTCGGATTTGCACCTTTGGAACAAGGACACAATGAAGACTGCACTTGGAACCACAGCCCTTTTCAGCCTTCTTCTGCCAGCTAACAAATGCAGCACAACACAAAGCGACTCTTTCTTCCATCCATTCAAGGATTGGTAATGTACTGTAACAACTTTTGATTTTGTTAAGGTTGTCGTTTACTTTAATTCCTAAAGAATGTTCGCCTTTTGGGATTCTTTGCTCACCGTGGAGGCATTGGGGAAAACGTAGTTTTCTTCATGAATTCAAGGTAACACGCTGTGAGTACTTGATATACAAATACACATTTTGCAGGTGAAGTCTTCCTTTAAACCGTTAAATGGGTTAGTTTTATACCTTGATTTCCACAGACAAAAGGTCATACTGTTCAGATTAACAAGGTTAACTTAACGGTTAACGGTTTGTTCACCGTGGAAGCATATGAAGCATGTGTGTCACAAATTCAGGGTAACACAGGCTGAGTAATTGATATACAAATGATCATTTTACAGGTGAAGTAAGCTATTCTTTTAAAAGGGATCCGGGGCACAAACTTGATCTCCTTTTCAACTCTGGTCTCATCTTAGATTCTGTTTGTAAACATCTATCTGTTATCCAAATCAGACTCGGAGATCAGCCGAGGCTACTCCAGACACAGAGCTGTAAATCGCTCAGCAATAAAGTATGTTTACAGGCCTGACAAGGGAAAGTGACCATTTGGATCCTGGATCAATTCTTCCTCTTTCCTTTACCCTATAATAACTTTCTATCCAGTGACCGCATTGTGGCCTCTGACTTAACTTGCTTAGACCTTAATTCAAGTTTAAATTATGACATCAGGCACCCCTACTCCTAAATCTTTAGCTTGAGCATTCTGCTTTTCATTACCATAAAAAATAACGATTAAACAAAAAAAGGGAACTCCAGTGTCTCTGTTTAAATCACTCATATTTTAAAAACTGTTATCAGACGAAGGGGAAAGTCTATATGCAGACGTGATAAGGCGCTTGGTAAACAAGGGGCAATAATATCACGAGTTATCTTAAAAAGTGATAGCTTATCAGTGTTGGGCTTTGAGCTTTTTCAGACAGAGGTGTTATCCTAAAATTTGTAACTTCTGGCTGATCGCACCCCAGCGTGGGATGTAATGTATCCTGACCTCAGCAAATCATGGTGTGACACGTTAAATACACCAAACACTGGACAATAAAAAGGGTCAAAGTGACATTACAGTTCGATATGAGCTGTAAACAGCGACAGTGTTGGATTACGACTGTGATGATTTATGATGCGTCCTAAGAGCAAACATAAAGCTTTTCATAACAGTGTTAAAAGAAGAGTATTTTGGTCAATAATTCATAAACGGGGATAAGAAGCTGAATGCTCCAAGGCCTCAGGCTGCTGTTAATCTCCCAAATACACTGCAGGTCAGTCCACAAAACTTCAACAGCAAAAACAAAGAATAAATACCTTAACACTCGTCGAAACATGTTTCAGTTCCTTGGTTTGTACAAATAAAATACATACAGTACTTGTTTATTCCTTTAGACAAACGCGTATTGTTGTTTTATATTTTCATTATGTACATTTTCAGTAGTTGTTACATAGATAGTATTTCAGCACAGTTTAAGAACTTGAAACCACACAGGGGAACAGAGATGCGTAAAAAGAGAATCAATCTTTTGGCTTGTAGGTCAGCACTGTTCTTTCACCTGTACAGAATGAGAGCAAACTTCAGGTAAAACTGGATTTGCAGATACTCTCTGATGGTTTGTTTTGGCCTTCTGATGTGACTGACGGGAAGTAGAACAGAACGAGTGGGTGGATTTTCTGTAAGATTTCTGGAGTCTATCCCAGCTGACATTGGGCGACAGGCAGGGTACACTCTAGTCAGGTCGCCAGTCTATCACAGGGCTGACACATAGAGACAGACAACCATTCGCACTCACGGACAATTTAGAGTCACCAATTAACCTGCATGTCTTTGGACTGTGGGAGGAAGCCGGAGCACCCGGATAAAACCCACGCTGACACGGGGAGAACAAGCAACACTACGCACAGAGGGGTTCATCCATTCCTGGGGTTCAAACCCGCCACAAACCCTCTTGCTGTGAGGCGACAATGCTAACCACTGCATCACCATGCCGCCACATTGTAATATGAGACTAGATATAGTCATTACATCCATATTACTGTTGATTTTTTATCAAAAATCTCATTGCGGAAATATTTTCTGAAAGCACCAATAGTCAGCCTAACAATATTGACGCAATATAGATATCGAGGTATTTGGAAAAAATATCGTGATATCCGATTTTCTCCATATCGCTCTGCTCTATGCTCAATGTGTATTATTCAACAGCTGAAACTAGCCCCTAAAAATGTTCACTCCTGTTTGGGTAATATTAGCTAAAAAAATGTTTTAGGAAACTAGTATTTTTTATACTTAACGCTTGTATTTGTGTTTTTAAGCGTGATAGCAAAAATTGGCAAACACAGAGCAACAGTAGCATTTACTTGGACTGTTTCTGGCCATCTGATGAATGAAAGTCCAAAATATTCACTCTAGTTAAAGCTCTTTTTTTCTGAAGGAAATAGCAGTTGATGAGGGCCGTAAGAGTGAACCAAAGCAGCGAAGTTGTGGGCCATAAAACTGAAACAATTAGCCGAAATATGCTAAACAATACGTTAAGTTGGAGGGAACAGCAGAGTCAGGTTGTAATTTTCAGTGGCTTGATTACTAGGAGTGAACCCTGTCCCATCACACAGTCATTCGACCTGTTGTTATTAAAAAAATATTGATTGGTGGAGCTTTAAAGGTTTTCCATCTTCAATAAAAATCAAAGTTTGGGGCCGAGTACCACAGAGAGAGTAGAGGACATGTTCACGGGAACACGGAATAATACCATCCATAATGTTTAACACCTCTAACAGAAACTGAAAGAAATGCTCATCTACCCCCTTATCAACCACACTGTGCTGCACAGTTAATAGACTACAAGGTGTGGATCCAAACTCAACTTGCATGTGCTGCATACTGACAAACCTGCACTTCACCGTGCATGTTAAAGAAGCTTTATAAAGCATGCTAAATCCTAAATCACCGTAGCTTGATGCAAGTGTGACCCACTGCATTGCAATGTCGAGATAAATCCCCCGCATTGCTCTGCATTTACTCGCAACTTAGTGCAAGACTGTGTGAATACCCACACTTAAGGCTCGGTGCAGATATGCACACGCCACACAGAATTCAGTGTATTTCCTGGCCATGCTTCAGGACAATAGAAAAAGCATGAAATAAATAAGAACATCAAAGTTATCACTGCACTGGCCACTCATAAAAGACTCGCAAACAGGCTACTATAACTGCATAAAGGCATACCATAGTGTATTTTAACCCTTTACTCCAGGCTGGAAGATAAAAGACTGCAGTCTGGATATATTGCATACGTAAACGAGAAGTTAAAGCCCTCCGAAAACCCACCAGCCAAATTATTGATTTCTTTTCTCTCTCGTTTCACACACACAGAGAAAGCATACAGAACAGACAGAGACTGAAGCTAGCAAGCACACTGATTTTTTTTTAAACATTCACTTGGTAAAACTAGCAAGTACTTCAGACTATAGCAACAATACAGCGGCACAGTTTGAACTGAGTACTATCGTTCTTCCTTGGCTGTCCTCATTTGGACCCACAGTGTAAGGTGTTGTCTCCCAGACCCAGTCACATAGAAGAGAAGCAGAGATGAGAGGCGCAATACCCTTAAGGTGAAGCAGAGCACAGTAGCATTAGGTTCACTTCCTGATCTGCCTCCACTGTAGAACTATAGGTCTCTGTTGTTTGATTTACAAGTGCATCTCCCTGGAAGGACTCAAGTCTTCTGTCAAAATGGAAAACAGGAAAGGCTTCCTTATAAATAAAGTTCTGATTATTGATCACATTGCTTGTCCTCTACTGCTGAAGCAGGGAGTCAGGAACTATCTGAATCATAGTGGTGTAACCTCTCAGTCTGTAACAGTAGCAATACAGAAGTTGTAAAAGTTCCAACACAAAGGCCTTTCTGGTGCCACCTTCATACCATCGACGTTCGGCCATTTTAAAGGGGTCAGCGCATTAGCCGGATGTTAACAGTAGAGCGACATTCTACTCCGCCGCATGGCCTCGCTGATTAAATACGCTGGGCTAATCTCTGGTTCCTCTGTCATCACCACAATGTTCTGCCACTCTCCACACTGGTTGGATTTCTTGATTGTATCCACCACGCAGAGAGCGTAAAGACAATCCTCAAAGGTAGCAGCCATCGTCAGAGGCCTCCCGTCCCACGTCCGCCTATCGTCCTGGCCCTGAAAGGCTTGCCGCACTGCCTGGATCATACGGATGGTTCCGGTGAGATACGGAGAAGGAATGTCACTGAAGGCCTTCTCCGGTAAGGAGGCCTTCTCAAGAGGCGTGGTGTCCTTGAGCAGAAGTTCAGGACCTCCACCGTTTCCTCCGCCACCGCTGTTTTTCTGTCCATACAGATCAGTCCCTGTGACCGTTAACCTTCCAAGCTTCCCCACAACAATCACCTCCTGCCGAAACTCTCCTGGAACATTGAAGTTGAGTGTGACGGTGCAGCAGGCGCCCCCCTCCAGTACCATCTGGAACGTGCAGAAATCGTCGCTGGTGATCTGACGGATGCCCCGGATGTGATCCGTTTGTTTGACGAAGGTCTTGAGGAAGCCATGGACTTTTGCTGCACGCTGACCGGTCAGAAACGTAAGCAGGTCGATGATGTAACTGCCCACTGAATGTAGACCGCCGCCTCCCATCAGGTCATCGCAGCTCCAGTTGTATTTCTTTCCCAGGAGACTACCACTGTGGACCTGTAGGGCAAAGAGGATAAATTGTGAAGATCTGATACTGTATTAAGTCTTCTATACACTTGTGATCAGGACAGCAAAAAACAACCAGAATTACTACCTCACAGTTGTACGCCTCCATGAACCACTCAAGTGGCAGTTACAGTTTACATCCATGTCTGGTCCAGACTCATATGGAGCCAAGACAGTTTTCAGTGCTTAAAATATGGATGCTGCTGCAAAGAAGCTACCTGTTCTAAAACAATGATACACATCTTCAACCTGGCAGCACAGAAGATCTACACAATCAGCACAGTTTCAAGAAGTATCTGACCAAATGTCTCCCCTTCTGTTCCTGAGATATGACCTTGAGTAATGGCCAGAAAATATTTCTACAGAACATTATGATGTCAAAGTGAAGCAGACCTTTGACCTTTGGATATAAAATGTCATCACTTCATGAATTTATATCCTATTAGACGCTTGTATAATTCTTTAGTTATGGCCCAAAACATGCTTTCTGAAGGTCACAGTGACCTTGGCCTTTGACCACCAAAATCTAATCAGTTCATTGTTGAGTCCAAGTGGACATTTATGCCAAATTTAGGAAATTCCCTAAAGGTGTTCTTGAGATATTGTGTTCACAAGAATAAGATGGACAAGGTTACAGTGACCTTGACCTTTGACAACCAAAATTTGATCACTTTATCTTTGAGCTCAAGAGAACTTTTGTGCCAAATTTAAAAAGAAAAGAAATTCCCTTTCAGGTGTTCTTCTGATACTGTGTTCACAAGAATTGGACAATCTGTAGTGGTATCTGGGTCAAATCTCATCCCAGAAAGTACCTGTGCTGCTCATTTGCCTTGGAGCAAGGCACTGATTCCTTGCCAGCTCTGTGGGCGCTGCTGTAACTGAAACTAACCTTAGAAAAAGTATCACATTGTTGATTTTATCATAAAGAGACTGAAAAAAAATCTCCATTTTAAGAAGCATTAGTTTTTGTCCTACCTGGGCCTCACAGACCAGAAGCTCCCCGATGTACCCCTCCTCCAACAGCTCCTTCATTCGAACGAAAGCCGGTAAGAAACGTAGCACGTTCCCCATAATGCTCAGCAACTTGGGGTAGTACTGGGCCGCTGACATCATCCGGAAGGCATCCAGAGGCGTTGCTGTCCGGTCACAGATGACGTTCTTTCCAATACCTATAAAAGAAAGGAGAGAAAGTTGGGGATGAGCCAAGCGAGCTTTTCTGTTGTGCTGTACAATTTCAGTGTTGTGACAATTTTCCTCCATACTGTCAATGCTGAGATGAGGAGAGGAGGTAGGGCACAAGAGAGGAAGAGAGGAAAGTGATGTGGTCAGGCTCAGCTACACGAGCAGACATAATATCCTCTTGAGCATGAAAACATCCCCTGAGGAAACAATGCAGAGCTGCAGAATGTGGCAACTCCCTGAATAGCTGACTCAAGAATTCCTAAACTTTCTGGGCTTTCTCCTCTGGGTCATAAAAACTTTATGACTAAGGAGGGTTCTTAGAAAAAGACGCAGCATATATACTGTTTATAGTGTTGTCCACAGGCTTAGTCTAACTGGGAACATGCTTTTCTTATTCTTCTCAGATAGAGTAATATAATATTAAGGAGATTCTTCGTTGATGCTGCTGCTAAAATGAGCAGATTGATGCAAAAACCTATTTCCAAAATCAAAGTACAGACCCATAAAACAACATCAAAATTTACTAAATCTTGCAAGGACAAAATCTGGATCCCCTGAATGCAATTTAAAAAGGCTTTAATGTTGGCAGGCACGCAAGATACTGCAGTCATAACTGTGTGGCGTATGGTGAGACCGCACAGCTTGGAGAGCTTTAGACAGGCTTCGCTGGGACCAATGGAAGGTTGATAAAAATACGAGCACAGAAGGTGCAGATGAGATGGAGAGGGGAGGAGATAAAGAGCCTGCAGACACTGTATGAAACCTAATTAAAATCACTTCCAGCACATTAAAAGGTCCACTGGTGCCGGCAACACCCAAACACAACAGCCAGAGGAGGTTGGACAGTAATGTGAGACAGACAGAAACATCGTGTCTCTTCTATTAGTCTTTTTTACAGGACAGACGGGAGCCTGTGAGGGGCATACAAAGTACATCATTAACTGGATTTGAACCTGGCCCTCCAGTGTCAAAGCAGCACAGTCTGTTTCTTAGGACTGGGTCTGCTGCTAGCAATTATTTCCATTACTGATTAATCAGTTGATTATTCTTTCAATTAACTGATCAGTCATTCAAGCTCTTGACGGTCAGAATATGCAGGAAAAAATGCCCATTGCAAGCTGGGTTTCCATCCAAATGTAGCGCAAATTCTCAGAAAATCTGTGAAAGAAAATGCAAATTTATGCGCTTCTCCATCCACTACTGTTACTGCTGTGAATATTGGGAGTTGCTTCATTGAGATAAGCAGTATGTGGTGCTAATTCTTCAATCAGGTGCCACTGCAGGAGGAGAGGGTGCTGCGAGTAATTAAAAGTGCCAGTCAAACCTAGACCCACATGTTAAGATGCAAAACTCCACAGCAGAAATAATCATATTTAGGGCCTGGTGCGAAAAACCATTTTGGTCTCCAAAGCTAATTTTCCCATTTATGACAACTGTACAGCAGGCTGAATTTTGATATTACTCATCCTTTTAAATTTATTAGGGGTTAAAGTTGTGAATACTGAAAGGCGTCGTCACCTTGAGTGACAGGCTGTTTGTGAGGTGTAATTGCAGCCTATGAATCAGATCCACTCCTCGCTCCTCCACAGCTCCACCATCCAAATATGTTGCCAAACTACAGGAGTCTATAAACCAGTGGGTGATATCACAGTGGCTACGTCCATTGTTTTTACACCGTCTATGGCTAGAAGTCATCCAGAGACAACAAAACGACAACAACAAAGAGAGCTTAGATTGGCATTTGCAATACTGGTGCATCATGACTGTATGTCATTTATTCACTACATCTGATTGCATTGCATTTAGTTGCATTTACTTTTTATCGATACACCAACTTTTCCTCCTCTCCAGAACATATAAACTTCGCATTTCCACCCAGGTTTTCTTACACGCAAATTGAAAATGCACGTAAAAAGAGGTGAATGGGAACACACTTACAGTCTCCCAGTCTGAGCAACTCATAGAATCTTCAAAAGGAAGGAGTAAAAATGCAATAAGCAAATATGTGTTGGTTAACATTACAGCCTTTCTCCAAACAATTTCATGAGAGTGCCTGAAGTTAGCATCCATTTCAACAAAATGCTAAAACGCAATGTAGCACAAAAGAGATGAGCCAAATCAGCAAACTAACTCCATAATGTCCATTATACAGAACACTACCCTAGCCCCATTTGAGCCTGTCCACTGCATGGACATTTTTTCCCTGTTGGGTTCCCACAGTCATGGAAAACCTGGAAACATCATGGAATATCGTATTAACATTTTCCAGGCTTGGAAAAATCAATTGAAAGTTTTGGAAAAGTCATGGAACATTGTTGTGTTCAATGAAATTGTTGCTGTAATCTTGGATCAGTTGTTAGTGTGAAAGGGGGAAAGAGAAAAATCAATTGAAAGTTTTGAAATTTTGTCCATGAAAATGTGAAGAAACCCTGGCCCATAAAACTGAAATATGCGCAATTATGGTTGAAAAGAACTCTACAGCAACTCTTCTACATTCAAAAACACTTGGACGAACCACACAGAAGTGAGATATATGCTTTGTGTAAACTGTTCTCGTAATGTATGTTTTGGTTTCATAATGGAGAATGTTCCAAGGATGAAGACTAATAGGTTAGTTTGGCAAATGTACAGTTAACCTCCCCACTTCCAGTACAAAGAAGCGCACAACCTAACACCATAAGCTAGCGGCCGTACCTGATCAATAAGGCTGCAAAAAACAACTGGTGTAACCATTTTTTATTTGTAAGATTAAGAATGTGTTCTAATGTTACATTGCCACATAAATCAATTCTAAAATCACTGAGCTGAATGGAAAAATACTGGTTGGTGAAACCTCTCAGCTGTGTCAGACTACATCTAAAGGATTCATATCGACCAATGTTCCACCCAGATATTCTCATGGCCACTGCCCACAACGACCTCTCGTTTCTATGGTCACACACGATCAGCAGGGAGTCAGACAGAAAGCATATGTACACACAGTTTAGGGGGCATCACTCTACACACACACTCACGGAGTCCGGAAGTGTGAAAAGCAGCATGCCGCTTCATTTCCAGCCCTGGCTGAGGGTTGTGGGTGGAGGGGCTGTTTAGAAGTGAAACTTCCCATGCTAATCTGCCATTAGCTTGAAACGACCAGGCCAGGAAATTAATCCCTCTGACCCAGTTCTGAGGAGCGCCATGGGAGCCCCCACCCACCACCCAACCCCTGCAGACACACAGAGCCAAGCAACGACAGTGCACCCCCGTTCCCTTCTTTTTGGCAGCACCGCACACAAACAGATAGTGGGAAGATGCATTGTCCTGGGTAAGACCCTTCTAGGTAAATGCTAAATGCTCTTGACTGATTGTTTTGGCGCTCATATTGAGCCCAATGTTTTTGCAGAACAATAGCTTGGCTAGCTACTAAAATGCCTAAAGGCAGATCTCACTGTCCCACAGCGATTCCTTTCATGATTTGGCCAAAATACATACAAGTCTCTTCAGCAAGCAGACCATGACTGAAATAATTCAAGCTATACAGCACTAGGCTTTTAATGCAGTGTCATTACAACTCATGGCTGACCTTTACAGGGATAAAAACAGCCCCTCTTCAGATCAACAATGACCTTCCGCTTCTCACGTACAATGCTCTGAAAGGTCGAAGCTGGCTTAGACAGGTCAGCCTGTTGAGTCATGGGAGCTACTCAGCCTCAGACAATGAGAGGATGCACTGTGCATGTGTCCAATAGATTATGGATGCACCTGAGCACGATGTAAAATCACAGCAGCTACTGCAGTGAACCTGCAACTGGGAGATAAAATGACATTGAAGATTTGGTCCAGCTCGGCAGAGAGGAGAAGGAAGTGGAGAAGGAGTGTGAAAAGAGACACAAGGGTAATAAAAGAGTAGAGCGATTGTAAAGGCAAGAGAGAAAAAGACGGGAAAATGCAAAAGTTAAACGGAACAAGAGCATCTGTCAATCCAGCAATTCAAGGAAAATGCTTTGGGAGACAGGGTGTATGTGTGCTCTTAACCTTTCCCTCCCTAAGAAATCTACGGCAAAGAAAGAACTGGTTGTCCACAAGCGCCAAAAAAGACAAAAAGTACAGGGTGTTGTATGTTGGGAGGCGGGAGAGTGATATGAAAACATAACCGTTACCACAACAACAAAGCTCACTGGGTCTATGTCATCATCACTACAGCTAGGATGAGCATCAGCACCATGGTATTCTGGGAGTGAGTTGATGTAGTCTGGTCAACGATTGAGGTTAAGATGGAGCATAAGATCCATGAATGGATTGCTGCAGCATTGGCAGTACTGTGGACCACATCTCAGACTGTCATGGTGAAAAGGAAGCCGAAGATCTCAGTTTACTGGCCGAACTATGTTAAAAATCCAAAAGAATGAGATTGTTGATACAAGTCGCCAAAATTAGTTTTCTTTCAGGGTGGTTTGGTTAACCGTAAAGGCATGTTTCACTCCTCAATTTCACGCTGCTCACCGGAACAGGCAGCTGCGGACACAGAGCCAGGGTGAGTCTGAGTGAGATAGCTCCTCAGAGGAAGAGAGGCTTTGCCGGTCAGGCTCCGAGATAATTCTTTCTTCTGCCAGCTGCCTAAAAGCCATGAATTGACAGCTCATAGCAACTTAATACAATTCAGTCACTGGCTTTTGTTTCATATCTAATGTCGGCAAAAAATGTTATTGCAGATTTCTGATCTTGTTAGTGCAGCTATTTCCTAGCTTGGAGGACTAACTTGGGGCTTTCACACAGTTGTGCAGTAACTCAACGCCTCCAGAAGGGGGCAGAGGGGAAGCAATTTTTCTAACACAGCGATAGGGGAAGGGGAAGCAGTTCCCTCCCATGTGCACGTGCACAGATTTCGCTCTGCCACATTGAGTTCACAGTGTTGAACTTCTGCCTGGCTGATCTATTAGCTAGCATCATGGAGGCACAAAGATGACAAGATGGAGGAGCGACTAGTGTTGGTGTGAGAATACCC